GGGCCAAGGGTGAAGTGTTTGGGGAAATGACATGAGGTTCAAAGGGGCCAGGTTTGATGAAGAAGGGCTGGAGATAGGGCTTGGGATAGCACCAGGAGCTCCCAAGCTGGAAATTGCCTCTTGTTAGCTGTGTCTTTAATCAGCCTATCTAACCAGGGAGCCTGCTTTGCAGGGTAAGCAAGGGGCTCTGCACCATGTCAGCTCAGCCTGGCAAACATCAGCACTACCTACCATTCCCTGGAGTGCTTTCAGGAGGCAGCAGCCTTAGTAGAGCCTTCTAAGAGCAGGAAGGACAGTCTCATTTCCCAGGCGGAACTCTGGAAATAAGCAGGATAAGACCACGTGTAGTACTGACCTCTGTTCTGCCCCCATGGTCCTGGTCATTCAGCTAGCAGCACATTCCAGGGGGGTCAGTAGGCCTTATCTCAGTCTATTACCCACTATGATTCTCACAAGACCCACTGAACTTTAGTGTAATGCCAACAATCACAGAGCAGTATTTGGGTCAGAAAGACCTCCATTCCCACTAAAGACACTTCCTAAACTCTTTTTCAAACAAACTTAACCCCAAAGATGCAGATCCAATTGGCATTTTTTTCAGTAAAAATAATAGTAAAGTTTATTAGGAAAGGATTACACTTTCAACAGTCTGAAAGCGGGTTGTCTCTAGAGAGAACAACAGGGTGAGAGGGAAGAGGAAGTGAGAGAGACATTTCCTGTTCCCCATGCAGGAAATGGGAGCAAAAATTCCACACTGGGATTTCTTGCAACCCTTGATTTGAGTCTTGACCACAGGTAAGGATGGACAGTCACTGTCCTGCAAGGGCCTGCAGGCCATAGGGTCAAGAACTCAGTCCCAGGGCCACATGCATCAGAAGTGGAGAGGCAGGGTAAAGAAAATGATAGAGCATCAGTAATATCGTGTAACATAAGATGTGAAGGTAGACGATATAAGGATGTGTATTGAAAGCTGTTGAAAAACGGGGGGGTGGGAGATAAAGGGGTTAAGGGAGAATAATGGAAGGGGTTGTATGCCACAGTGGGCATACATTGAGACATGCCTTTGAACATCAACTTAAACATTAATAACAAAAAACAGGACTGTAAAATAGGTACAGTGTTTATGGGGGGTACCGATGGGAGGGGGGAGGGTGAATGAAGGAGATTAAGGTGACGGTATATGGTAGATGGACTTCATATACCATATGAAACAGAACTAAGGAACCTCTAGCAATTGCTTTAAGTAGGGTTGAGAGGGAGAGATGATGGGGGCAATGTAAATAATGTATAATAGAAGTCTAATCAGAATTGTCACTACGAATCCCCCTCCCCGTATAATGAATATATCCTAATAAAAATTTTATTAGAAAAAAAAAAAAGAAGTGGAGAGGCAGGGCTGTCCGAAAAGCTGCTGCCCTTGGGCCAGGTCTGTCATGGGGGGCCCATCATGTCCCAACCTACTGAACATAAAGACTGTAGGAAGCAGCTGCACAGAGTTCTTACCTGATGAGAAGGCACGAGGTTTCTGCAGGGGCAAAGGCTGAGCAGCCAGTGGCAGTAGCCCCTGCAGGCATGTCCTTGGGACACCTGGATCTCTTCCAGGACCCATTGACAACCCTCCCCCCTGACACTCCTGGTGCACCCAGCACCTCCAAACTGCCTATGGAGGAATGAGGAAGAAGTGCTGGGTAGTGCTGTAGACACACCAAAAAGTTTTCATTCATTAAATGCCTTAACCACTGGTGGTGCTGTGATTTTTTAACTTAAAAGTAAAAGCACCCTGAAGCCCTAAGGGATATAAATAGCCCCTAAGGGAACTGCCACCCAGATGATGTTTGCACCAAGCATGACTGGTGTGCTCAGGAAAAAAGGAAAATGAACAGAGACATATAAACACACAAACACAGACTACAGCAGTGTAGTCTGGGGAGACAGAGTCAAGATGCTTTGACTGTGAGGAAAGGGACCTTTCAATTAAAAAATTGTTTCTTCCGTTTTTTCCCCCCTAATATATCATAACGAGCACACAGTCCCTAATCATGGTTGAGAGTAGAAGTGAGGCAGGATAGATGAGGGAAAATGAGGCATGGAAACCACTACTACTAGGAATTCAGAGAAAAGCACTGTATTATTATTAGCTTGATTAAAAGAACACAGGCACCATTTTCTTTGCTTTAAGCCTTACACTTCCTCAATAAATTGCAACATTTAGTTTAAAAAAAAAAAACAGGAAAATAAGCAAGTCTCTCTCCCTCTTACCTTCCCACATGCCCAAATAATTAGTTACTCTAAGAACTGAGTAATGCATTTTTTTCCTAGGGAAAAACCACTTGGGAAAATGACTCCTCTGAACACAAAAAGTCTTTGTAAAGGAAAACATTTATCCCAAGGATGGACACCAGTCCTGAAGGCAGCATCTGGCAGAACCCATCTTTGTTTATTGGAAGGCTCAGACATTCATGTTGTAATGACCCAAATTTAATAAGTGGACCAATCTTAAAATCTCTGGGCCCAATTGATAAGACAGTGTAACAGAAAAAATAATTAAATGTTACCAGGTGTCAGAACAAAGGGAAGAACTTATCCTAAGGTGAACTTGAACCGAACCCCCAACCTACTTTTCCACTGTAAATACCCCGACATTGGAGAACTCATTGCATCTGTTATCAGATGTATCTGCACCAATGTCTGGGCTGTGTACTAGTTTTCTGCCTTTCCTTTACTAATGAACTTTCTTGGTCTCTACCTCAATGTGTCCTAAATTTCTTTTCCGACATCTCTAACTCTGTACCCAAGGGCCAGATGGAGGCCTCCTCCCTTTTGGAGACTTCCTCCCTGGGAACTTTTTGTTCCCAGTTCCAGTAACAGAAGTACATAATGTAAAAGGCCCTGTCGCTGGTTGGGGGTGAATGTGGGCACTCCATTTACCTGTGCTCGTCCTTTGTGTAGCTCAGTCTCATTCCCTCCAGGGGCCAGACGGTTGGGGTAGGACTCCAGCAGAGGACCCCAGCTGAGGCTAAAGGGCACAGGCCTTCTACACCAGTTGACTGAACTATGCCCCAGCCTCAGCCTCTGAATCCTCCAACTCCAGGAACACATCAGGATCCCTGGCATCTCTCCAGCATTAAAAGGTGGTCTCCACCTTCTTCCCCTGCCTGTGACCCATACCAGCTGAACAGACAGGCATGCAGTTTAACACCCAACTTGCTTGGTTTTTTTTGGGGGGGAGGCAGTACTGGGGATTGAACCCAGGGCCTCAAGCAAGCTAGGCAATGATCTACCATTTGAGCCATGCCCCCAGAACTTTTGTTTGTATTTTGGTTTTAATACAGGGTCTTGATAAATTTTGCCCAGGATGCCCTAAAACTTGAGTTCATCCTTCCTTGGCCTCCCCCTGCTTCCTGGGATTATAGGCAAGAAATGTGTTTTTAATAGGTGCTTTACTTTTTTGTTTTTGAAGCAGGGTATCTCTATGATCCTCACTCAAAGTGGGGAAAAAAAGGCCTGATCTGAGATGGTGGGGAGCCCAAACATCCTGTAAACAGGATTATGCAGGTAATGGACTGGCATGGGGCAAGAGGCCAGGGCAGGCACTAAAACTCATTTGCCATTTTCAGAAGTTCTTGCTGCTCAAGTTATCCCTTGAGATTCATGACCTGGTTTCCTGGCAGAAACAGACCAGGAGGGCACTCAAAGACAAATGTCTCTGCAGAGAGCAGAACCCAAGGCCCCAGCTGGAGCATGGACATGCTGGAAGCTGCAAAGCTGGTCACATATCCCCTCCTACCCCATAGGCACATGGGAAAGGTTCTCCACTCCAGCCACCACTTCCACCTGCCAAGAGCCCTTTCACAGGGCTCCCAACCTCCTCCCTCCATCCTGATCTCAACACTGCAGCCAGTTATCATTTTTAAACAATCACCAGAGCATGGTCCTATACTAAAAACTCTCAAAGGGTTCCCCAGTGGCTCAGAATTGAGCCAGAGTCTTTTGAAGACCCTTAGGCCCTGTCCTCTGTACCATCCCCAACTTCATTTCCCTCTAGTGAGCTCCTCCTACTTTGCTACAGCATATAAAGCCTAACATGCCTGGCCTCCCTCCACTGGCAACCTGGGTACCAGCTGTTCCCTCTGCAGAGTCAACTATATTCTCTTGCCTCCTTTAAGTCATTGCTCAAGGAGGTCCACCTCATGACTCATCTTACTGTGGTGGCCTACCTCCTCCAAAACCAGCATCTCATCACCCGATCCCACCTTTTATAGTGGCACCATCCTGACAATCTGTGCTCATCCACTAGGATGTCAGCTCCATGAAAGCAGGGATTTAAGACAGAAGAATGAACATGTCCACACAAAATGCAGGATTTATTAAACAAATGAGCAGAGCTCAGGTGCTTCATGGTGTTTGCAGGAGGTCTGGTCTGGACCCCGACCTCCACTTGGGGCACATGGCTACTCCCAGCAGCAAAGACCCAATAGCTGGGCAAGGGGCAAGTGTGCATTCAACTAGAGAAAAATGTTCTGAATAGGTGATTTGCTTCTTTTTTTTTGTTTTGGTAGGATTAGGGCTTGAACTCAGGGCTTTGCACTTGCAAAGCAGGTGCACTACTGCTTGAGCCACACCTTCAGTCCATTTTACTCTGGTTATTTTGGAGATGGGGGTCTTGAGAACCATTTGCCCAGGCTGGCCTCGAAGCACAATCCTTCCATTCCCAGCCTCCCAAGTAGCTAGGCATGAGCCACCAGCGCCCAGCACTTTTGCTTCTTTGCTCTGCCACTTCAGCCACTCCACTGGCCCTTTATGTCTTGGGTATTTTCAAGATAGGGCCTGTTGAATTATTTGCCCAAGATGGCTTTGAACTTCAATCCTCCTGATCTCTGCCTCCTGAGTAGCTAGGATTACAGGTGTGGGCCACAGGCACCTGACCCAGCCATATTTTTTGTCTTTGAGAAAAAGTCTTGTTATGTAACCCAGGCTAACTTTGAACTTGCCACCTTCCTACCTCAGTCTCCCAAGTGCTAGAATTACAGTTGTGCACCACCACTCCAGGCATTGCTTTACTTCCTTAAAAGATAAAAAAGAAAAAGAAAAGCACAGCTTTCCGTTTCACTTAAAGAGAAAATTACATTCCTTATATTCAGACCCACACTCAGGAGCCTGCCTCATGGACAGCAAGGCTGCACTCTTGTACCAGATGCAGCACCCACCACCACAAGGTTCAGTCCTGCAGTTTGCGCTCACACTGCTTCTCCAGCTCTGCCATCTCCTTCAGGACCAGGGCTACACTGTAACGCAGCTCCTGGAACTTAGTTGTGGGTACCTCAAAGCGGTGCGCTGACCCATCCGAGAGCTTTAGCTGCATTAGGACGCTAGGCTGCAAGGAGCGAGCCAAGGCACTTGTAGAGATAGCAACATCCACCCGCCACCTGAAGCTGGAAACATGGGGCAGCCAGGCCCCGTGATGCCGGGCCAGAGAATCAAGGAGAGGCCGCTGGCCTCCAAACACCACACTCGCCAAGTCCCCGATCAGGTCTGGGGGAATGCCAAGCTCCAGGAGCTGGTCCTTGAAGGCATCTGGCTTTAGGCTGGTGGGGGGCAACCGGAGGGCCTGCTGGAGCAGGGTGTGTGTGCCCGCGAGCAGGACACTCAGTCGTTCCTCTGGCAGGTTGGCGCTGGCACCAAGGTGCTGAGCAGCCTCTCTGCAGTCCTCCCCCTGCAGGCTGCCAACCACAAGCTTCAGCAACTTTCTGAATGTGCTCCTATCCAGGTCCCCCAGGAGCTGGGCCGTTGCTGCCACTTCTGGAGGGAGCTGGGAGCCCAGGAAACTGACACGGCCACTTTGACTGTCAGCTGGATGACACAGGTAAGGTGCTGCAGTACCCAAGGCAGACATCCTGCTTACTCCTTCTTGATCAGCCCAGAGGGAAGGTACCAGCCGCAGCTGCCTGGAAGTGGTAAGGGAAGAAAGCCAATGATTCCTGTGGCCCCTCATCTCAAGGACCAGTGAGTGAAGATCAATGTGGTCCCCACCCTCAGAATACTGACCATGGGAACTACCAATGACAGTAGGTGTGATGGGTGCTAGGGAATTGATCCTGGGAGCATGTGGCAAAGGACCACCTGAGTCCCAGGAAAAAGGGGAGGTCTCCCAAAAGGAGTGCCATCTGAGATAAGCAGGAGTTGGCAGGGGAAGAGAAACAAGAAACACGACAGCACACGTAAGTCCTTTAAGTAACATGAAGGAATGAACTAGCAGGGCTGGAAGCGTGGCTCAAGGGGCAGCGCGCCTGCTTAGCAAGCTCAAAACCCTGAGTTCAAAGCCCAGTACTGCCAAAAATGAACTAGGAGAAAGGTTCAGGGGTGCACAGGGATACAGCAGCTGAGACTCCTTCAACCCCGAATCCTCACAGCATCTCTACAAGAACTGAGTCTCACCTTACAGACAAAGAAATCAAGCCCCCAAATGCACTCATGCTAGCCAAGGCCTGGAGCCTAGACCTGTGCATTCAGAAGGCTCCCATTTCCACCGCAGCACAGCGGCCAGACCCAGCCTCCCGGGCCAGGAGAAACTGGGCAACGTGTGCGGCACATGAAGAGGGCTATGGCCTCACCTGCAGAAACTGCAGCATCACCAGCCCGTCCCAGGCGACCACCCATACACCCGCCCCTCGACGTGCCACTGCCAGAGCCGCTCCGGGGACCAGGCACTGGACGCTGTCGCCGGACCCCTCCCTGGCAGTGACGACCGCCGACTGCCAAAGTCTCTGTGTTTTCCTCCGCTGCCTCACCAGTGTCAGGAGGCCCCTTCGGCTCTCAGGCCCGGCACCCGCCCCTCTTCCGGTCACAAGGCCCGTGCCCGGTGGCGAGTCCTCTCACCTAGGAAAGCGATCGGCCGCGCTTCGGCAGCCGGAAGTGGGCCCGGTCCCCGGAAGTGCCCAGCGCACACTTCCGGGCCGCTCTAGGAAACCGGGTGGGCGGCTCTGAGTGGTCCGAAGTTCTGGCTGAGCCGGGGAGCCGCGTCCTTCCGCAGGGTCGGGTCCTGGCTGCCGGACCCAGCGGCGGAGTCCTGTGACACTTGTACTTCAGGGAAGAGGCAGCAGATGAAGGTGTTTGATTTCGGCTTCGGAGGCGTAAGCGGAGCTGGCCCGCGTCTACCCCTGTCCGGTCCTCGCCGCACGGCCTCGGATCTGACGCCTGGGTCAGGGAGAGGAACGGGGTTCAGGTAGCGGACGACTGCATGCTTAAAAATGGCTCAGATGGAAGACTGCTACATACGTCAAGGACCAGAATGTCGGCAAGTTGAGTGTAAAGACCGAATTGCCTATGTTAGTGGTCCGTGCCCTGGAAGAAGGCAGGCCGCTCCTCGAGAGCAGAGTGCCCACCAGGCCCGCCGCTCCCTAGGCCGGTTGCCCGCCTTCTGTTGCTTGGAAAACGCCTGTTTCTGGATTATGGGGCTGCTGAGCAGGGTGAGCCCATTTCTTCCTTGAACTGGCGTCTAGTTCAAGGGCTCAGACCCAAACAATGGATTTCCATAAATTTTACTTAGCACATTTTACTATAGTTTTTTTTTTTTTTAAAGAATGCCATATACCAAAACTATTGAATTGTACAGTTTAATCTCAGTACTCAGGAGGTTGAGACAGGAGGATTGTGTGTGAGGCCAGTCTGGGCTCGGGTGAGACCTTGGCTTAAAAAACAATGTCCTTAGAAAGATTATTAATACTAACCAGACTGGATGTGGTGACTCATGTCTGTATTCTAGGCTACATAGGAGGGGAGATGAGGAGGATCAAAGTTTGAGGTCAGCCCAGGTAAAAAGTTAGAGAGACCACATCTCAACCAATAGGTTGTTCATGTAGTACGTACCTGTCATTCCAGCTCCCCAGAAGGCATAAATAGGATTGCGGTCCAGGCCAGCCTGGGCAAAAACACAAGACCCTATTTGAAAAACAACTAAAGCAAAGAGTTAGGAGGTGTGGCTCAAGTGGTGCAGTGCCTACCCAACAAGCTCAAAGCCCTGAGTTCAAACCCCAGTAATGCCAAAAAAAAAAAACTAACCCCAAAGTGAAAACAACCCAAACATCCATCCATTGGTGAATGCATGAGCATATTGTCTCATATCCATACAGCAGAATAGTGTTCAGTAATACATAGAGTGAAATACTGACATTACATTCAACATGGATGAATCTTGAAAACATTGTACAAAGTGAACAAAGCCAGACACAAAAGACCACATATTGTGTGATTCCATTTATAGGAAATGTACAGCTAAGTCAGTGTTGTGGACTGAATTGTGTTCCCCAAAATTCACATGCTGAAGCCCTAATCCCTAGTACCTCAGAATGTGACCATATTTATATGGGTGACTAAATTAGAATGAAGCCAATAGGGTGATCCTTAATCCAATCTATCCAGAGTCTTCATAAGAAAAGGAAATTTGGCTGGGCACCAGGAGGATGAGATTAGGAGGATCGAGGTTTGAGGCCAGCTCTGGCAAAGAGTTCACAAGACCCCCATTTCTAAAATAACCCCAACAAAATGGACTAGAGGTGTGGCTCAAGTGTTAGAGCTCCTGCTTTGCAAGTGCAAATTCCTGGGTTCAAATCCCATAAGTCAAAAAAAAAAAAAAAGAAAAGGTAACTTGGAATGCAGGATCACAGAGAAAAATTGATGTGAGGACACAGCAAGAAGGCAGCCAAGGCAGGTGCTGGTGGTTCCTTCACACCAGTAATCCTAACTACTCCAGAAGCAAAGATGAAGGAGGAACATGAAGCCAGCCCAGGCAAATAGTTCTGAAGACCCTATCTCAAAAATACTCAAAACAGGGCTGGTAGAGTGGCTCAAGTGACATAGTGCTGCCTAAACATGAGGCTGTGAGTTCAAACCCCAGTATCACTACCAAAAAAAAAAAAAAAAAAAGGGCAGTTATCTGTAATCAAAGAAGAGAGGCCTCAAAAGAAAAATTTGCTTTTTAAGATATACAGTCTGTGGTATTTTGTTTCAGCAACCAGAGCTAAGACATGAGGGCATACAGTGTGACCTTTTTTGGGTAAGGCTTTTTACTCAGTATGATGTTTTTGTGATTATCTAATGTATTGAGGCATATAGAAATAAGGGAAAGATTCAGACTATTAAATCTGTATAGTTTAATTTGGAGCACCTCAGGTTATATACCCTTCTCTCACTCCTTCTGAACCTCTCAATCTCCAGGGCTCCATTTCAACTGCCATAGAGCTAGAAAAAATATAAGGGAACTGTAGAAATTTTCTTCCACATAGACTTAGGGTACCTGAAAATTAGCATAAATTTGTGTGTGAGTCTCCCCAGAAACCCATCCCCCTCCTGCCGGTCATTGGAGACAGGAAATGGCACAGGATTTTCCCCACCTCCACATTAAAGCCAGTATAAAAAAAGTCTTAAAACAAATATTACTCCCTTTTCCTGCTCGTGTCTCCTCCATTCCACCTGACAGACTGCACCTGTAATTCCTTTCACACTTAATTCCCTTACAATGTCCACGTGTTCTGCTTGGATTCATCTATCCCTGAACACAAGAGCCAAATATCTTCTGGCCAGAATTCTTAGTGAGATGTTACCTGCTGTCAGGAATTTGTTCTTTTAGTGTTGTTGAACTGGGGTTTGAACTCAGGGCCTCATGCCTTCTAGACAGGTGCTGTATGGATTGAGCCACTTTGCCAGCCCTTTTTTATGTTTCGTATTTTTAAGATAGGGTTTCTGGAACTATTTGCCTGGGCTGGCCTTGAACCTTGGTCCTCTGGATCTCAGCCTCCCAAATAGCTAGGATTACAGGCATGAGCCACCAGATCAAACATTTTTGCAGTACTGGGAATTGAATTTAGGGCCTTGTGCTTACTAAGAAAGCACTCTACCAGTTGAGCTATGACCCCAGTCCTTTTGCTTGTTCCATTTTTATAGCTCACTAGAATAAGTATGCCAGTTTGTTTCATAGCTATTATGTACATGGACACTGTTAGGTCCCTGGTATTCTTGGAGCAGAAGGAAGGTCCCAAGGCTAACACTGAAACCAGACCCCCTGATTTATGACCACTTGCAAAACTCCCCTGCTTGTTTCCCTGCTTGCAAAACCTCAGGAACTTCCAGTTTCTTAACTAGCTAGAAACGACCCATTCCATCTGGTGATCACAGATAATTGGGGACCAGAAACACTCTCCCTCTCTGAGGTGTGGCCCCTCCTATAAAACCCACTACCCATTCCAGCCAAGCTGCTTCACTCTGCCCGAGAGGGGCAGCCCAGCAGTCTGTCTTCCAACAAATCTTTCTTTTCTACACGTGGCATGGTCTTTGTTTGGCAGTTCCTTTCAGACACCTGTGATATTTTCTGGATTTGCATATTGTAAATAGAGTTGCTGATACTGGATTGTTGACCCTAAATTCGTGTCATGGTGATAGATGATTGAAGATGCCAGACCAGGAACTAAGAGTAAAGCAAGCATAAAGTTTATTGAAAAGACAGCAAAAGCTCCCAGTGCAGGAGGGTTTGGAAAGCTAAAGCTCTGGTATAGCTGAAGTATAAGAGTGATATAGAGCTCTACCTGGCTTAGATCCAACTATTTTACCGTGAAACTACATTTGTAATTGGTTGGTGCCTAGTCAATGCCCTAGTGAACCCAACTACATGCCCTTGGACAAAAGGTGACTTGTAGGAAACAGCAGTCACCTGCCTGTCCTCCTTATCAAACAGAACATTCCAGGAATGTCTGGTCAGCTCATCTTGGCCTTAGGACCCACTACCTACATTTTGCAGCTGCATTCTGTTATCTTGGTAAGGGACTTGTTACTTCTCTGAGAAGCCTGTTGTTTTTCATGATCCTTTATATGTCTATTTTGAAAATGTCTCCCTCTCCAAAATGGAGTCACCTCTGCCATAGCATCCCTTACATTCCCATGAATTTTCAGGGGCAAGTGTTCTGTATGTACGTGTTCATTTCTCTTTGGCATGGATAGAAATGAAATTTCTGTGTCAGAATAAATATATATCTAATTTTATGAGAAAGGACATGATTTCTTTCTTCAGAGTGGTTATACCATTTTATATTTTCATCAAAAGTATCAAAAACTTTGAGGTGTTCCATATCCCCACCAACATTTGGAGCCGTTAACTTTAAATGTTATCTATCCTGGTGAGTGTGTGTTACTATCTCAGAATTTTAGTTTTCATTTCCCTAATGACTAATGACATTGTACACTTATTCACGTGTTCAGCCAACTATGTGAAATTATTCTTCAGATGTTTTGCTCAATTTATTCTGTAGTGTAGCATTTTGTTATTGAATTGATGCTTTTATGTATCCTACATAAAAGTAGTCCTTTCCTAAGTATTTATTTTTAAGTATTTTTTCCAGCCTATGGCTAATAATTTTCTGAATTGTGTCTTTTCATGAGCATAAATTTTAAAAGAGCCCTTTGTCTTTTTGTTTGTTTATGGGTTTTAATAAATCTTTAAAGTCAAAAAGAAAAAAGTAGCTGAGCACCAGTGGCTCACACCTGTAGTCCTAGCTACTCAGGAGGCAGAGATCAGGAGGATTGCAGTTCAAAGCCAGCTTGGGCAAATAGTTCTGTAAGGCACTATCTCAAAAATACCCATTACAAAAAAGGGCTGGTGGGGTGGCTCAAGATGTTGACCCTGAGTTCAAGCCCAAGTACTACAAAAAAAAAAGATAAAGAAAGAAGTAGTAGGAAAGATACATACTGTGAGAAATATTCATAGCACATAGCTGACAAACAAATCAATAACAAAAGGACTTACCAGGTGTTTAAAGTCAGTGGTGGTCCATGTTCAAGGCAAGGCATTTAACCCTAACCGTTTGCTTGCAGATCAC